CCGGACTCAGCGTTTACCTGCACCGGTCTTATGGTTCCAAGAATTTAATTGATTTACTACGTAGCTTTGGGGTGTGTGCGGCGTACAGCGAATGCACTCAATATGAACGGGCGGTAATTGAGCATGCTCCAGCCGTTGTTGAAGGGGGTGCCTTCATTCAGTTTGCTTACGACAACTGTGACTTCAATGTCCGTACCATCGATGGGCTTAATACGTTTCACAATATGGGCGGCATTAAAGTAGTTACGCCAGCTACGGCTGTCAGTGTGGCAAGTTTAGTGCCACGTGGAACAACAATTGCAGCCACTGATGTAACTAAGCACGGGTCCATTCCTCTGTCTTTGTACCAGCGTCCGACCGTCAGTGGACTCCAGGGCCTCACAGTGGTGGACATGCGCCCCTCGGCGCCGTGGGACATCGTTGACGAGCACGTGCTGCAGAGAGCAACGGAGTCTCGACTAATGGACCTGCTGTGGCTAGCCGGCACTGCCTTTCAGGCGTGTGACACTCCAGGCTGGATGGGGTTCATGGAGAGAGCGGCCGAAGGCACGACGCATCCAGCAGTTTCGGCGGTAATTCCCACCCCATTTATCAACCTTGACGCCACCAATTTGACCACTATTTCAACAGCCTTGGAATATGCCGTGCAAGAAGCTGACTCTCACGGACAGAAAACGGTCGTCATCACAATGGACCAACCCCTATTTCAGAAGGCTGCAGAAATGATACTTTCGGCCAAGATCAATTCTATCCTCAAGAGGGCGGTGCCGTGGCTTGGCGGCTTTCATCTTTTAATGAGTTTTCTGGGGGCCATAGGGTACCTGATGGCAGGAAGCGGCCTGGAAGAGCTGTGGGCTATTGTTTTTGCGCTAATTGCTGTGCAGCACATGCTGACTGGGAAGGCGTTCGCAAGGGCACTGAGAGCGCACTTCCTGACATTGGCTTTGCTGTTTGCCCTTCTTTTCGAAAGGGATGCAGATATTGTGCCCGAAAGGGCGGCTCTTGTCGCGCTGTTTAATGAAGTGCTTGATCAAAACACCACGGCTGCAGAGGCACTGGAAAATTCATCTTTGGAGGCGCTCCAGGCTGAATTCAATAAGCAGTTGGAACTTCTGTCCGCTTCGGGGCCCCAAGGAAAGCTGTGGAGTCAGTACATTCACATGGTTATGCTGGTCTTGGTTTACATTCGGTCGGTACGCTCCGCTGACTGGAAACTGCACATGCACTGCATCAGGGAAATGCTGCCATACTTAGTCGCAACAGGTCATCTTAACTACGCACGCTCTGTGCTCCTGCATCTGCACCTCGTGACTGACCTGGAACAGAAGATGACACCTTTGGAATTTGACCAATTTGTTGTTAGCGGCTACTTTGCGGTGTTTCGCAGCAACAAGGCGTTTGCGGGATTATGGGGCGATCTCGTCATTGAGCAATGTTTAATGAGATTATTCAAGACTCGGGGAGGCATGACTCAGGGACGAGGCATCACGGAGTCCACGAAAGCTACCTGGATCAAGGCAATGCCTGCCTGCATCAAGATGATGGAAGCTGTGGAGGAGTACGCGGGACACCGGTCGCAGACCTCGGAACAACACGTGGAGCTACGGAAGTCACGGCAGTCAAGAAACAAGAAAGACGGCAAGAAAATGATGCAGTGGCTTCGAGAACACCCTCCCTTTGAAAACCTTGCTGTCCTTAGGTCACTATCGACGGGTCTCGTCGCTGGGTCAACAGTCAATTGTTATGATGCATATGCCGTGGGATGTGACGTTCTTGGTGCACTCATAGGTCAGGATTTCAAGAGCATTGTCTTTTCAAAGAAAAACAAAGTCTTGAACTTAGCGTCGTTTTCGTCTTCTGTGAAAATTGGAGAGAGAGTGGTGGCTGTTAATTCGACAACTCTTTTTCATCGCATCAACTGTGTAATAGGACCAGATGATCTGGCAGAGTGCTTCGAGTACGAGCTCTCACCGGTTCCACTTTCTCTTTTTGACGAGAATGGGGCTTTCAGAAAGGGAACTAAATCATCTTTGGCTCACGCTTTCCTGTCATACCACCCCTGCAGCAAAACTTTGCCAACAGACGCCGTTTTTGTAATAGACGGCGGCAATTTAATGCGGAAGGTTGTTTGGCCGCGCCCGGCCACGTACCGTGAAATCATTGATCTGCACGTAAGCTCTGTGCTGCGCCATCATTCAGAGTCAGCAATCGTCGTGTTCGACGGGTACCCAGACAAGCCCAGCATCAAGGACCCGGAACACATGCTTCGCTCATCAAAAGGTACTTCCCCAGACCTGGTGTTCGATGCAGTGATGCAGGTTACAACAACGCAGGCCAAATTCTTGACAAACAAACACAACAAGTCTCGCCTCATATCGATGCTCATGGAAGCTTTTTCCGAGCGTGGTGTACAATGTGTACAGGCAGAAGACGACGCAGATGCACTCGTGGCCACCACGGCCATTAAAGTATCCAAGGAAAAGAAGCAGAACGTCGTCGTTGTGGCAGAGGACACCGATATTCTGGCCCTTCTGATCAACTTCGGTGAGGGTGCATCAGTGTTTCAGCTTCTGCCGGAGGGTGCCAAGAGGGCTGAGACAAAGGTTTACGATGTGCACGGGCTGCGCACCGCGCTGCGGGGTGCCGCTGACGTCATGCTCGTAATCCACGCGATGACTGGGTGTGACTCAACCTCCGCGCTTTACAAGAAAGGGAAAAAGGATTTTCTTAAAAGAGTTGTTGCAGACGAAAAACTACAGGCGGCGGCACGCGCATTTTACACAGAGGGTGCAATTGCTGAAGATATTGAGGCCGCGGGGCAGCAGCTTCTCCTGGCCGCATACGCCAGTCAGAGCCACCCAAATCTGAACTCCGCAAAGTGCAGCGCCTACATCAAGACTGTAGCGCGACGGCCAGTTTGGTCCGAAATCGACATTGGCGCTCTTCCACCAACTTCGGCAGCGGCAAAGCAGCACACCTTCAGAGTGTACTTGCAGGTGCAAATGTGGCTCGGTCACAAGCCGCCTCCTGAGCAATGGGGGTGGAGACTTCACGATGGCCGTTTTCTCACTCCTGTCTACACTAGGCTTCCTCCAGCACCTGACAGGATCCTGAAATTGACTGCGTGCCACTGCCAAGGCGAATGCGGTTCGAAGTGCGGTTGCGTGATTGCTGGACTTCGCTGCTCAGCTATGTGCCAGAACTGCGCCGGCCACGGGTGCGCAAACCACATGCTGGACATCGAGGAGTCGGATAAGGATAACGCCGAAGATCCCAGCTCTGATCCTGATGACCCCGGCGTCGAGGACTTCTAAAAGGTGAAAAAAGTTGCAAAAACTGGTCAAAAGTCGGTTTTGTTTGTGTGCTTATAAGCCTGTTTGGTGTCAACAGGCAGCGAATCGGCAGGTGTTCCACGCTCCAGATGTTCCACGAACCAGATGTTCCAGTCCGAGGGTGCTCCAAACGACGGGTGTTCCATGCACGGAAGGCTTAGAAACAATAAAGACGAAAACAATCGTGGTATGGCTTTAAGTGTGTGCAAAGCACGGAAGTTCCCTAAGGGGCGGGTAGGCAACCCGCAGTACCGAGTCCAAGAAAACACGCAATGTTCCCGTTCCTCGGCGGCAGCGCAGGTATTTTTGCACTTAGAAACCCGTCCGAGACGTCAAATCGCTTCAGAAAAGAACGCTCTACAACGTTCAGAGAATAATATTTTTCGATATTCCCGCTTGTTTGGCCGTAAAACCTGTGCAAAGTTTAAAAAAAAATTTCAAAAATTTTTTTTTAAGTTTTTTTTTACTTTTTTGCAGTGTAAATGAAGTCGGATTGGATTCATTCATAGTGCAATCGAAAGGCCCATCCTTTGGGAAGAATTTAAGCTGTCACCCACCATTCTAGCTCAAATAGATCCAAAACTGTGACCAATTTACCGGCGGGAGGCCGAAATTCAAAATGGCGGACTTTGAACGCCCCTCACGGGTGAACGTATGAAGGGATTTTTTGGGAACTTTCAGGAAATGTTCCCAGGACACCCCCAAACACATCCTGAAAGTTCCCTGCTGTTGCGATTTTTGTCCGGGTCAGGGCCGTTTTGAGACTAACTTTCCTGGACTATATGGAGGCTCTTCGGGAGACGGCCCCCTCAGTGGCCGAATGAGTTTGAACGTGACATCATGAACAGAGAGATAAAGAGAAAGTACAACTATCCTGGAGATGGCACGATCATCTATATTACTGCACCTGTCGTCCAGCACAACAGATACGTGAATAGATTTACGAAGCATTCTATCCTGCTCCAGGTTGTCTGTGTCGATAAAAAATTGTTTATCTTGCGTTTATTATTTATCAGTGAAGCTGAAACTCTCACGGAATAGAGTACTCCAAAGAAGCTCCGGCCCGGAAGAAGAACAAAAACGGAAGTAAGAAATTGCAGTTTCTATGAGAAATATACGCTGCGGACCCTCATGCGCAGCGTGTATTTCTCATAGATACTGCAATTTCTTACTTCCCTTTTTGTTCTTCTTCTTCCGGGCCAGAGCTTTCTTGGAGTTCTCTATAACTCGCTGCTTCCAAGACACCTGTCGAAGTCGCATGCCAACCTGTATTCGGACTACTGCTGACTCAAGAAAATTAAATAGAAGCTCGCCTAAGCCAGAGCCAGGAAGGGCAAGGCTGGTGTTCGAGTTCCTAAGGTCCAAAGACTTGTCAACATTCCGCTAGATTCGAAGGGGAACAGGGCAAAGAAAATCGCACAAAGGCCACAGCTGTAATGATGGCTAAGGGCCTTAAGCCGTCTTCAGTTGTTATTAAAGAATGATTCCTTGCGCTGTTTAATGTTCTGGAACTAAGATACGTTCGCGACGTCCAAAACAACAGCGTGGGAGACACGAGACACGTCGACATTAGCTCTCCACATTTAAAATAAATGTTGATCGAACTTGTTAAATGATGTAATGTTTGTTTTTCTACAACACATAAGGAATGAGTTTTCAAAACGACTGTTTGGTAACGATCTTTTCTTTGTTTTGTTTATTTGATTTCAGATTCCAGCTACAGTTTCAATCCCTACTATTAAATAAAATGGTTTTCCGCGTATTTTCAATTTAACTCATTCATTGTTAGAAGGACTAGATGATAGGCACGCAATGCTGTTTACTGCTTCCGACGCAAGTCCCATACGCGCTCCCAGAGCCGAGATTTTCCCTGGAAGTAATCGGTATCCGCGACTGGTTGAGAGCCGTTGATGTGGATAAAGGGCAGTGATGATTCACGACACACTGCTGGGGTTCCAACCGCTCTGAAATACAAGCATACGGAAAAGCATGAGTATTTACTCTGAGTTGCGAGAACCGAGGGAGGACGAATCGGTCAGCTTTCTGGTGAATACATGAGTGATACCGGTGAGAACACGTTACGAGACTCAAAACGTTCCTAGGCGTCATACAAGTCGTTATTAAGATGGAACAGAACGCCAAATCGTGCAAAAACCTTGCGGATCTTGCTTTTTCCAAACTCGTGACTTCTCTGAGTACGGGCCAGTATGTCGCTGAGCGGCGCGCTTGTGTTGCACAGCAACGCTAGAGCGAGCGTATACGCGGTCATACGGCGTGCGTATCACCTCGGATATGGTGATTTTCCGCCCGGCGAGCCAGCCCAAAAGTGCCATTGCCGGGGTTTCTAGAAACCCCCGAAACTTGAACATCAGTTTTTAATGTAAATTCTCTCATGTTCACCAATATTAAGTGCTCCGAAGTGCTGGACTTAAATGTAACAACTTTCGCAAAAATTTGTGCCAACATATGCGAGTTCCTTTCGAGCGCAGCATCGCGAAGCCACAAGACACGGTCTGGCGTACACCTACCTTGTGTTTAGTGTAGCCAGGTGAATAGGGTACTTCGGTGAAAACCTAGCCCGGAAGTCAGCGACAGAACCGGAGTAACAAATGAACGTCGCGCGGCCTTGCTGAGCGGTGGTGGGGATCGAAATCGGCGGAGTGGGGGTGATGGCGGCGCGCGCATGCTGCCCCCACCCCGCCGATTTCGACCCCCACTACCGCTCAGCAAGGCCGCGCGACGTTCATTTGTTACTCCGGTTCTGTCGCTGAATTCCGGTCTAGGTTTCCTCCGAAGTACCCTATTGTTAAAAAATATTAAATTAGCGTGAGCATAACTATCAGTACTCACTTCCCCTTGATGAAGTCCGTTACCAACGTGGTGAAGGTTCGCAACAAGGCAGAGTCCAACCCCTCGCCGTGATAGTCCTGCTGGATGGGCACCGAGTACGGGCGGAACAGCCATCCGAGGTCATCGACGTGAGCGGTGGCTGCAGCAAACGAGGCATTTCATTTCTATCGGTGTTTACAGTGGAAGTAGATCAATCGCCTAATAGAGTACTCAAAAGAAGCTCTGACCCGGAAGAAGAAGAACAAATACGGAAGTAAGAAATTGCAGTTTCTATGAGAAATATACGCTGCGCATGAGGGTCCGCAGCGTATATTTCTCATGGAAACTGCAATTTCTTACTTCTGTTTTTGTTCTAATTCTTCCGGGCCAGAGCTTCTTTGGAGTACTCTATAGGTTGTGCCTTCTCTCGTGGAATTTCCCCTGGCGGAAGAATTCCAAGTTATTGGCTGAGCGATAGCAAAGCCCGTTACTCAGGTGAGGTTGAAAAAATATTTCTGTCTGCGTGTGTGTGTCTGAACTACTCCTCCTGCACGGCTCGGCCGATTCAACTGAGATTTTGTAGTGTCATTAGGTGAGGTCGGGGGCTGGGGTGTTACGTCTGCTATGCTCTGTGAGCTGGAGATACTGGGTGCACTGAGCATGAAAATGTCATGATCAGTACCTAATTATATTGTTGCCTGAGCGATAGAGCCCGTTACTTCAGTGAGGTTACAAAACATTTTCTGCGTACGTGTGTGTGCCCTACTCCTTTTGAACGGCCCGGCTGATCTGGCTGAGATTTTGCAGGGTCATTAGGTATATTATTAGCTTGCCACAAACCAAAATTGAACCTTCTATCTCAATCCATTCGGTCATATTAGTAAAAACACTTTGTACCGGCAGGAAAAAGACAATTTTTTTGGTACTTTGAACTTTCTGACAATTTTCATATCTTTTCCTCTGTTTTAGAAGGTGCTGATGACAGAAACAGGATCTATTCTTACCCCCCCCCCCCCCCCCGACCTAAAGTAAAGTACTGTCAGTGAAGATTGTGCTCACCAAATTCAAATTCATGTGGGGATCACGCTCATTTCTGCGGTTTGATTAGGAGAGCAGCCCGGAGCAGCCTGCCGAAGGCAGGCTTAGCCCGCTAGTAGCGCCGCAAGCCAAGGAAGGTGTATGGGCGCATGCCACTTGCGCCAAGTAATCCACTCCCTAATTGTAATACGGAAGGTGGAGTTGCACTTGCGCCGCGTCCCGAAGGGACCAAAAAAAGTGTTGCCGCTTGCGCCGGGGGAGGCGAGTAAGCGAGCAACGACCCGCGGGGCGGTGCCGAGCCGGAAGCCACTGTGCGAGCGTGCAAGTTTCACTATTGCCAATCTTTGATCAGGAAAATTGAAGGAATAACTGAACTGAGGCAGATCTACGAGAAGGACGAAGAATCAGGTGACGGTGGGTACTCTCTGTGATTTCTCCCATGTTGTTGCTGTTGTACTGTGCCACAGTGTTGTTTAAAACTATATAATTCCTTATTCCCGTAGCTCGATGGCTTCCATATGGCTGGGATTGCCAAAACCTCCCACCCAGCATGGTGCCTGACGCCTTTGTTGAACTTGTCAGCGAGCCGCCCGGGGGCGAGCCCTTTGAAACCTTCGCGAGCTATGTGCTCACAACCTACATCGAATTTCAAGGCCCAGGGATTACGTAAGTTTCCTTTTAAATGAAACGTAATTTGAATTTTTTTTACATTATTTTGAGACATTTATCTTTATTGCAGGGTTCCCCCCGAACTTTGGGCAGCTGAACCCAGTTATGATCCCACGACTACAAATGCTGCTGAAAGTTCAAGGATTTCACATGAACAGTAAATTGTCTCTTCAAGCATTTCAAATGATCAATAAATTTTAAACTTCACTTGCCATCGCACTTTTCTTACTGCCCGCTTACTCGCCGCCCCCGGCGCAAATGCAACTTTCGGCTCCCCCTCTGACCCCCTCGAAGGTCGCAAAGCGTAGATTGTCGAAAGTGGCGCAGCATCGCGAAGCCTGTTACGACAAGACACGGTCTGGCGTACACCTGCATTGTATTTAATCACAATCACGCAAGTTCGGGCCGCCCAGATTTGGGCGAGGAAGGGTTTATCAGCTACCTACGTGCTGCAAAGTATTATGATCCTTGGGTTTCCTCACCCAAATTTGGGCATTAGAGAATTGCTCGCCCAAAATTTTAGACATGATTTTCTGTCATTCTCAGTGTGCAGACACGAAACGTGTTTCCGAAAAGTTTTAAACCTTGTTAAAGTGGGTTTCAAAACCATTTGATACGCAGTAGTTTCGTAAGTTAATTTTGACCCTTTCTTCTTTTCTTCCATATAGTGCATTGAGAAAACAAGCAGCTGCAACGTTCATCAGCTTCAGCAAGGTGAAGAAGGACTCCAAATCCACTCGGTCACCACACTGTCATTCCAGGAACGTCACATCACGTGACAAAATGGCACGTTCCTTTGAGAATCGTCACATTTGTTTGAATGTGAATAAGCTAACTTGGCCAATTCACTTCCAGACGAATGTGACACATTGTCACATCCGATTCACCGAAATGCCACGGTCCTGGAACGAAAGCGCACTCTTTCCGACCAACGAACTCGACTGTGCCCTTACTTGTAGCGTAGGGAACTTGGAAAAGGCCCCTGGTGAGGAGGTTGTAGCTGGAGACAGAGTCCGTCTCGTACAAGTAGACCTCTCCATCGCGGCACAGACGCAGGTAGTTTAACAGTGGGCCCACATACACCATTCCGGACACGATCTGGAAAAGGGAATGGCCGCGGCCGGCACACACGGTAACTCCACCACTGGTAGACAACGAATGTGACGTCATATTTGTTGGAGTGTGGTGACTTTTGTCACGTTCGTTTGACATCATATGCAAACGATCGTGACAAAATTCACAGTCGTTGGTCACCAGTGACATTTTGGCCAACCGGACTCTGGCAAAGCATCCGCTCGTGGGTGGACTCACATGTCACCCATTCACTGAAAAACAAAACGTGGCCTGGAAAACAACCACTCAAATGAGTGCCTTTGTGCCCTCATCAGTTGGCGTGGTTCAGACAACGATTGGTGTGGTCTTTCTATGCAATGGCCACGTTTGGTTTTTCAGGGTGTACGTCTGTGGGGTGGTGCAGTGAAAGCGGAGTGGCGAGTGGCCGGATACACATTTAATGTCATGAGGCACTTTTCTTAAGAAGTCCGATCTTGGTACACGATCGATGACGATTTCCTCCATTTTCAGGCCTCACAAGTCTGAGAAGGGCCCCAAAATTTTGGGGACGAAATATGCACGGTATTCTTTGAGCAATTTTCGTTTCATCTGCACTGAAATCGGAAGTGTGGTGAAAATATCACGTTTGGCTGTGGTGAGACCAAAAGTGTGGTTACCGCATTCTACCACACGTACAAATGTGGTAAGAAGTACACCCCATCAAATAAGTGGTATACAAGCCTATAATTTAGCCATTACCTCATGTATTGCGTGGTCAAGAGCACCTTTTTATGAGGTATGGAGGACTGACCACATATTTGCTGTGGTATCCACCATGAATTGCATGTGGTGCTTTGTTGACCACTGATTTTTAGGGGTATTGACCGCATTTCCACGTGTGGTAAATTTGGGTAACCACAGTTTTGCGCCTACCACACATTATCTGTAGGCTGTACCACACTTCGAAGGACAGTGTGACAACTGATAAAACCGAGGGGGTATGCGCTCTCTGAACCTGTGTACCGACTATTACGCTACGCTCTATTACGCCACAAATTAATCGGAATTTAGCTAAAAACGGCCTAAAACACACAAAAATTGATAAAATTTTGACAATTTTGGCTATTACGCGACTATTACGCGTATTATGACACGTGCTATTAGAGTGAACCGATTATTACGCGAGTGCATACCCCCTCGGATAAAACAATTTGACCAAAATTGAAAATATTTTTTGCACTCGATTCCGCTCAAAATATTGTATCTTGTGTAATCAGGCGAAAAACCACAATTCCGGGGTTTTGTATAGTACGATACTTCTTTTGGTGATAGGTTTCAAATGGTCAAAAATTCATGGAAAGTCCCCCTTTTTTGAATTTTAGTGCTGGTCCAGCCACGGTCCTGGGGTTGTCACGAACGGTTCATCACTCTAAATGTCTTACGAAGAAAGTTCCCATAATACGAAGGAAATGGTGCAAGCATGATACGAAGGTGGTTTTTCTTCGTATTACTAAGGTTTTTCTTTGTACATTGTTAAAGCTAAAAAGATTCGTACTACGAAGGAATATTGCTTCGTATTATGCTTGCGCCGAATCAACTGTAACATACGAATGACACAGGCCTAATTTCACTGTAGGACATTTAGAGTGATGAAGGGTTCCTCCCTGGGGCTTACACTGATGTACTCGTCCCTCGAGAGCGTCGTGCGACCGCCGGCGTACTCGCTGCGAACCAGCTTCAAGAGGGCCTCCTGCTGGTTTGCCCCACCAGCTCCACGCGAGACGCCGAGAAGCTTGGCGATGTCTTCGGGAATCAGCAGGGCTTCTCGCTGCAGGATCTCTGGGAACCGCTTATTGACTCGTGCGAGCATGGCAGCCTCACTGCCGTTGATGACCTCACTTATGACGCCTGTGGAAGAACTGCACTGTTAAAAATTGTCTTGGAATGCAGCAGTTAATATGTTACTAATTTTCTGAATAACCAAAGTTGTTTATTAATGACTTAAGTTGTTAACTGCTAACTCTTAAGTTTTTCTCCGACAAGATGTTTGTTAACCAATAGCCACAAAATAATTGTGATTTTGGTAGAACCACTAAAAATCACCCCGAAAATTTGTGAAAATTGGAGACTTTCGGCTACGCTGCGTACTACGTACACTGGACGTGATTGCAGTGACCCGACTATTACGCTAGAGCGGCTTGCTCTACCTTCAGCTATGTACGCTTTTCGACTTGAAGAGAATCGGAAAGACGGTTGCATATCTTAGTCTTTCCCTGGACTGTTTTTTTTTTTTTTTTTTTTCATTGTGAAATTGAGTTGGGACGTTTTTCTGGGCCCTTTATTTTCAATTGACACCACCGGCGTTTTAGCCTCGAGCTGTTCTTGTCGAGACTGCTCTCGACGTGGCCACTACTGTGCAGCTTTCTTCTTTTTTTTTTTTTTAGGTTTTTGCTCTGAAGGTGGTAGTTTCTATGCCTTTGTTTTACCAGTGCACGACAGATGGGCACCGACGAAGTGAACCTACCCAAGTGGAACATGGAGGCCGACTCCTGCGCGGTGTTGCCGGTGAGGATTGGCACCGGGCTGACCTTGTGTTGGCGGACCAGCAGTTCGGGGGAGGAGGTCAGGAACGTGGAGCCCGCAAGGTCACCTTCAGACGCCGATGGTTTCTCAGGCGACATGGCGAACTTGAACATCAAGTTTGGATGGCCCTGCAACATGCGTTGCAGGCTTTTTGTAAATTCACTGGTAAAACTAAAGCGTAACTCTATGCTTGAATCAAGCATAAAGTTACGCTTGAAGACGTTACGCTTGAAATCAAGCATAGTCTAGAAATTCACCTATGCATTTAGATAGGGAGAATCTTGGCGGAAGAGTCTGTTACGCTTGATTTCAAGCGTAAGCTGATTACGCTTGAAAACAGTGGGTAATACTAGGCTTTAGTTCTACCAGTGTCGTTGGCTCATTCCTGGGCAAACGCAGCAAGGAAAAGTGCGAATAATACATCAAAAGTACAACTGAAACTGTGCAATAAAAGTACAAAAGGGATTGTCGAAAGAAAGTACAACTAGAACTGTACAAACCACAACGAGGTATGGACTGCACAGCACTCGTCATGCCGTTCCATTGTAGGCCTACTTTGAAAACAATAAATTCTTGAGTAAAAATTTGCCACGAACTTGTCTACTTCTGTTGTGTTTTCTCCGAGAAGGTAACCACTCGCGTAATACCCTGTACACAAAAACCATGTATTACGCGTAATACACGTGATCGTAGTACCAATTTTGGGTCAAATGTGCCAAATTTTGGCATTTTAAGGCCGTAATACACGTGTAATACCCCCGTGAAACATCGTAATACCGAGTAGTCTGCACACGATTTCTTGTAGTGGTTACCCCCCTCGGTGTTCTTGCAGTGTAGTGCCCACCAACGCCTCACCTCCGTCATCATCATTTTCCGGAATGCCGAGATGAGCTGCTCCCCGGTGGCCGCTCGCAGTGTGCTCTCCAAGGACGCGGGGTCGCTGACCCCCAACAGGCCGCCCAGCTCGCGGGCCGCCGCCAGGTGCGAGTCCATGTAGCAGGGGTTGGTGAGGGCATTGCCACTGATGAGCGCGGCACGCTGGAAGAGGCCTTTCGCAACAGGGGAAGAACAACGTCTACACACGCGTCTACTCGTCTACGCGTTTCAAGCACGCTTGTAGAAGCTGAAAACCATGAAAATGAGCCAGAAACGTTTCGCACGATATTTCCGTTTAAAAAAGGACATTTTTTGGCTGAGCGATAGCGAAGCCTGTTTTGGCTGAGCGATAGCGAAGCCTGTTACTCCAGTGCGGTTGAAAAGTTTTGTCTGTCTGTGTGTCTGTCTGTGTGTCTGTCTGTGTGTGTGTGTGTGTGTGTACACTACTCCTCCTGAACGGCTCGGCCGATCTGGTTGAGATTTCGCAGGGTTATTAGGTATGTTCTTGGCTCGGCACACGCGAAATTTCACCATCCTAGCTCAAGTGGTTCAGTTTTTATAGCCGAAAAACACCTAAAAAACGGCGAAAAATCGAGATTTCTGTCGGTAGACCTCTCCTGTCTGGATGAAAGAGGGGTCTGGGGGGCGGAGCCCCCCAGCCACGACAAGTTGAAAAGTTACAAGGGTCAAGATCGTGTAATTTGTAGATGAAGCACCTCTATCTAGAATGAAGGGGGGTCTGGGGGCCCCCAACATGCAACAGTTCTGAAGTAACTGATGATGGACAAGCATTGTCTGCCGAAGGCAGCCTAGCGCCGCAGGCCAAGGTAGGTACGCCAGGCGCGGATTGGAGAAACAGGCAGCGACACATCGCGAAGCCTGTTACGACAAGACGCGGTCTGGCGTAAACCTACCTTGTGTAAAATTAGGAGCAGTTGGTAAAAGAAACTGACCCAAACTCGTTATTTTCCGATAATTTTTTTTTTCACACTGTGCAAACCTTGGCTCTTGGGGCTGAGAGCGTGCACGTGGGCCATCATGGCGCCCGCCGAGTTGCCGCCGACAGTCACTTTGCTGGGGTCGCCGCAGAACGCCCGGATGTTCTTCTGGACCCACTGCAGGGCGGCCAACGTGTCCTTGAGGCCGGCGTTGCCCGGGGCGCCGGGGGTCTCCAGGTTGAGGAAGCCTGCGCGACGGCAGGGCGAACTTTAAATACACTGTGCAGCTAAAGTGTGACTGCACTGTAAAACCAAACGTGGACAACTCCACATTTGAAATGCGTAGGAGCGGAATTTTCAGTCTCCACACTTGGAAGTGCAGAGTTTGCAGTCTCCACACTTCAAACGTGGAGTTGTCCACGTTTACACCATGCTAAGAGATAGGGGCCATGTGAGTTGCTCCACACTTGAAGTGTGGAGGCTGCTAACTCTGCACTTCCAAGTGTGGAGACTTACTCCACACCAGGAAGTGTGGAGTTGTCCACGTTTGGTTTCACAGTGTGGACGCACTGCTACAAGCAACTACAGCGTCTATTCCAGACAACAGATTTTACTAATGAGTACGAGTAGTTATAATTGTTGGTGAAAGTGCAATGGAATCGACGAGTGGAGTCCAGTGCACTGGAGTGGCGGTTAAACCTCTAGACGCGTTTAGAGCTCTAGAGCCGCTAATCAAGACTCAAACCACATGCGACCAAATGTGTGGGCCCACCAATGGATTCCTCGTTCGGAGAGCAATCCATTGGTGGGCGTCACACGTTCGGTTCGAGTCCCACTCAGCGACTCTAGAGCTCGAAAAGCATCTAGAAGTCTCGCCGCCTCCGCCGGTCTTCTGGCCCACAGTACTGCGACAGGAGCAATATGATGCTTGCCTTGAGGCCCCAGCCGGTAGTTGAACGCGACGAGGACGACGCCGTTGTAGTTGATGAAGTCCGGGCCGTAGAAGCCCGTGCCGCCGTCGCCGAAGTAAAAGGCGCTCGGGTGAATGAAGACGAACACGGGCAGCAGAGAGTCGCAAGTGAGCTGCGGGGAAGGACGAATTGCACTCTCGGACTTATACTGACTTATATGAAGAGCTTCGTATATTAACGAAGGCAATTTTTTTTTTCCGAAGGATCCGCGGCTTATTTCGTACATTAATTTTTACAGTGCACTTACTTTCGGCGTGTGCACGTTGACGAAAAGGCAGTCCTCCGAGCCGACGACTTGACCAGTGAAGGTGGGTTGCATGCACATGCTGCCTTCCACCGTCGCGTTGCGAACTCCGCTCCACGGAATGGCTGGCCGCGGCGCCTGGATAGCAGCACACACAACACTCTCAGACTCGTATTGACTTTTTGCCCTTTGCTGACGTAGTTTTTTTTTAAACAGCAATATGGCAAATCACTGATAAAACTAGAATGGTAGCTACGAAGAATGAAGACATTGTACGATTGCTTCATACTGTATAGCATCTCTCTCAACTTTGCTTCGACATGCGATGCAATTATTCGTAGAGTTTAAACTCCTTTCGTTTTCTTACCTGCTCTTAACTGTGCAATTAAAAAGTCTGGTGGATTACGGTTTTCGGCCCAGATGCTTCCCTCTTGTCTTTCTCGAAACGTGCCATAACCCCTGCATGCCACGCCACTGCCCATCGGGGCAACATGGAGGCTCACCTTGAAGCGAAGACTGTCGAGAGGCGGCGCTGCGTACGGAATGCCCTTGAAAGAGTAGAACGAAGCCGTTCCTTTGGCCCCGGGCTGGAGAGCACCCAGAAGAAGACCCTGCTCCACCTTCACTACGGGGTCAGCCGACAACCCTGACCTGGAAGGCACAAGTTGTTGGTAGGGCGTGGCGGCCAAAACCCTTAACGCGTTTTGAGCCCCAGAGTCGCTGAATGGGACTCGAAGCTAACGTGTGACCCCACCAATGGATTCCATTTTCGAAGAGCAATCCAATGTTGGGGTCACACGTTCGGTTCGAGGCCTGTTTAGCGCCTCTGGAGCTCAAAACGCGTTTAGATTTTTGACCGACAAACGATGCTGAAGATGTGAATGTTGAAGATAGAAATGCCGATGCTAACAGCAATCAACGCATATTTTAGTCCAGATTTCATTGAGAAAAATGGCAAGTCTGCAAAGCTGTTGCAACCCTCCTGTACGCCGAATCTCCGCACTTTGGAGGGGAAGAAACTTGTAGTTCAGCGTTATAGTTACATTGTTCGGACGTTCCAAAACGAGGACGAGGGTCACATGACCTTCTTCAACAAAAGCTGGCAAGGTTTTTTTTTTTCAATATTTTGGGGACGGTTAGAAAATGTTCTTAAAGGCAAACCTTCCCTAGTTTCTTTCTTTTCTTTTTTTTGAACTGTTGTTTCACATATTTGAAACACGACAAGTCTTGAATTGTTCACAAAACTGCAAATTGGAGAGCCGCTGAAGAAAGCAAGAATTTGGTGCTCCGGAGAGAATACCATAAATATGGCGAGCAAGGATTATCAACTGCTAAAATTTGAGCCAAAACAAAAAAAAAGTCATTTCGGAGGTGTACTCCTTAGATATGGAAACACTTAACTGTGAATAGCTTCATGTACATGCATAGGAAAATGACTATAATTTTTTTTATAGTGCCGATAAGAAAGTGTAGTGCTTCAAAGAATTTTGGCATAAAACAGAGACTTTCGGAGCCTGCGCACTGTTTTTTGTGTTCTTCACGCCTTTGCAAGCAAATGCTTCACACTAAATGAACAAATATACACTAATTTGTACAAAATATGCACAATATTTTTTTTACACTGGTGAGTTTGAATTTTTGTGCGGATAAACGGAACAGAGTTTTTGCGCTCAAAATTGTGAATTCGATCCATCTGGAAACTATTTTACTTGAACGTTCACATAAAAAGGTAAGTACAGTAAAGCAAGGAAATGAACGGCGAAGACCTTTAAGTCGAGGAGGGATCACTCGGCGTTCTGGCAAACCTATACATTTCACATTTTTAAACGTGTTTGGTATTTATTTAGCGTTTATAGACGTCAAACAACACCAAATCATACCAAAAATCTGAGAATTCTGCTCTTTCAACACGTGTGAGTACACTGAGTATAGGGAAATCTTTACACATGAGTAAGTAGTGACTCACCCCTCGCAGTAAACTTACCCTAAAAGGCCAGCCAACAGGAAAAGGTGAATCATGGCGGCGGCACGGACAACTTCTGTTGGTAGCTTTTCGTCAATGTGAGAAGTGAATACCTTAAAATTCAAAAAAAGATACCAAAAATCCAACTTAGTACTATGTGCGTTTCTACCGGAGTTTTCCTCCACTCCCGATTCGTACCACAGATGATGTCCTCTCGGGGGCACCACGCTTCAGTCGGGTCGATCTTCGGTCGGTGGAGCCGCCGAAGACGCGGATGGCTCCGAGGACCTTGAGGCGCGGCTTTTAAGGTGCCACCGACCGCGGCGAGCCCTGCGCGGTGGACGTCAGTGTACCATCGTGCGATCGCCCTGTCTCATTTATGGCTGCTCACGCCTGACGCTGGTGTCGAGCCCACTGTGGCAAAACGCGACGGGAAATTCTGGTAACCGCGTGTGGTACCTGATTCTCCCTGGCTCCATTAACAATATTCTCCGTAGGACCTTACAGTGTTTTCCGTAGAGCTGTACCGTCTTCTATGTCCTACGGAGAAGACTGTAAGTTTCTACGGAGAATACCGTACGGAGAATACCGTACGGTGCTGCGGAAAATACTGTCAGACCCTACAGAGAATCAGGGATCCTTAACTTACCTCATAAGGGCATCATAACGTTATCATAAGAGTTAAAGTTATTACCCTTAACTTCTAACATCTTTTCAAAAGGGTAGGTTATTTTTTTATGTCTCGAATTTGTGTGGATATACTTTTGCAAGTACTTTCATAAGTCCGTACCCTTAATCTTTAGCAAACATTGTCTTATGTTACGTTATGAAAGCAGTGTTAGTTAAATGTTCAGTTGAGAATATTGATGAGAGGAGAGGGCTACGGTGAATCATTGCAAAAAAAAATCCGAATTTTCCAAACCTTTTTGCCACACTGTCGTGCAGTGCAAAGTGACACAATGTAGGGGGACGCCAGACACCAGCTCGCATAACAGGCTTCGCGGCTGTCATCGCTGAGTCCTAACTCTAAGCCGCTGAGTCGCTGTACACATTCTTTTGATTTCTTGACGTTGTGGAACAGGGGAGTATCACTGAAAAAATTTACTAATCCCAGAGTTTGAAAAGCTCATTTTCGTCATCAGAGCCTCTCACGACGTCCCACAGGCCCGAGGCCACATGCTACTTTCAGCCATTTAGAACAACTCTCAAATATTGGCCATTTCCTGACAGTTTCTGCGTGTTGAGAGGGGATCACACTCAATTTTTATGGACTTTTTTGGCTGAGCGATAGCGAAGCCTGTTACTCCAGTGTGGTTGAAAAGTTTTTTCTGTCTGTCTGTCTGTCTGTCTGTCTGTCTGTGTGTGTACACTACTCCTCCTGAACGGCTCGGCCGATCTGGCTGAGATTTTGCAGGCTTATTAGGTATGTTCTTGGCTCGGCACACGCGAAATTTCACTATCCTAGCTCACGTGTTTCAGTTTTTATAGCCGAAAAACACCTAAAAAACGGCGAAAAATCGAGTCTTCTGCAGGCAGATCACTTCTGTCTTGAAGAAAGGGGGGTCTGGGGGGCTCCGCCCCCCCAGCCTCGAGAAGTTAAAAAGTTCGAAGGGTCAAGATAGTGATATCTGTTGATGAAACAACTCTATCTAGAATGCAGGGGGGTCTGGGGGGCCGAGCCCCCCAGTGTGCAACAAGTAAGAAGTCGCCGACGATGGACAAGCCAATGCCTGCCGAAGGCAGGCTAGCGCCGCACGCCAAGGTAGGTACGCCAGGCGCGGATTGGAGGAACAGGCAGCGAGACATCGCGAAGCCTGTTACGACAAGACGCGGTCTGGCGTAAACCTACCTTGTAATGCATACTTATGCATGCTCAGATACGTCCATAAGGTATAAATTACATTATACATCACTGTGTACATTTTAAGCAGGGCATAAAGTGTACACAGTGATGCAAAATATTGTACCCACCTCATTAACGTATCTGCGCATGCATACCTATGCATAAAAAATGCATTATTATGCATTTAAAAAGTTCACAATAATTTAGTGTGATGTGCAAAGCACGCCTTCTTTCTCCCTTCTTGTTCCGCACGTTCCCTTCTCCGTGTGCCGCCACGTCCGTACGTCCGTGCTGTCTTAACACGCTGGCGCTGATGCACAGTGTGCCAAAGGTCGTTGGAGACAACCGAAACAAGACGCGTTTTGAGCTCTTGAGTCGCTGAATACACACTAAATGTTTCGTACAAATTTTGTACGAGACATCACAGTTTGTGGTGCACACGAAATTTTCGTACGAATTTGTACGCGATTTAGTACAAACAGGGGAAATGTGTGCAGCTTTTAGTACAAAAAGAAAAGTTCGTGTGCACAAAAAAGTGCAATGTCTCGTACAAAATTGTACACAACGCATGACTCGAACCGAACAACGTGCGGCGCCACCAATGAATTTCCTCGGTCAGAGAGCAATGCATTGGTGGAGTCCCACCCAGATACCTGTCAGCTAGTACAACAAAGTCGCCCAGATTGTCACAGTTTTGGTGTGATAAAATGATAACTACGCTAATAATGCGATAAATGCGCTAATACCATACAGTAACTATTGCACTTATAATGCAATAACTTTTCCATGGCGCTACTAATGCAATAAAAGTGTTATTGCTTTTTAATATAGTTTAATATTATTACACTTAGAAAATCAGTCATAGCAAAATATTATGTCGATATAACTACACTCGAAAGTATCGGGGGGACCGAAGGGAAATAACTCCAGCACAATTTGTACACCAAAGAAAATTCACCAACCATGGAAAATTCAATACAATTCATCGAAATTCGACAAAACTTCTTTGAAATCCGACTGAAATTCATTGGATTTGTTTACCAAAATTCACATTGATTTCACCTTGGGCGGGACCGTGTTGTCATAGGAGCATGAATAAAGTGAACGCAAACAGCCGGCACGCCGCTTAATACAGATGATTATGAGGCCCATGTCGTCTTACGGGTATGGGACCACGAAATGACTGATAAAGGTCCTGCACGAGGCGCCGGCGAGCCGATAGAACACCGCACTGCAAGAAAAAGTGTGGATAGTACAACAAACGTACAACAAAAACTGTACAGTAAAAGTACAACACGGATTGTAGAAAGTACAACGAGAATTGTACAAACCACAACGAGCCCTGGACAGCACAGCACTCATCATGCCGGCTCCATTGTACTTTGTACAACAATTGTTGTACTTGAAAAGTACACAAAATTCCTAATAAAAAATTTGCCAGAAATTTGTGTACTTTTGTTGTGGTTATTTCCTGCAGTGCGCCTTTTCGTCGGAGGCACTAACGTTGTGCACGAACTTTTCTGCTTTACAGAAAGTAAGCCTAGTAACGATAACTAGAATCCCGATACCAAATATCAGTCAGATAGAATAAACTCAACTGGATTTCTTGCCAAAAATAGTCCACTGCCTAGTTGGCCTCAGTCTAGTAAACCGTACCGCTCGACATTCTGGATGTCAATTTTAATTTAGCCCGCACACTAAATTACCATGTAGGTTTTTCTGCGCGCTAATGCACGAAATTAAACGTGCACTTCGTAACGCACAAATTCGTGCGCGAAAATGCACGATTTTCTGCATACTTGCGCAGGAAATCGTGAACATGATCTTGGTTCAAGAAAGCCTATCTTGGGTGTGAACCACTTCGGAATTTGCAGAGCGCGGAAAGTTTTTGGCCTGCCCTTCTATTTACAAAATAGGGGGAGGAGGGCCTGGGTGGTTTTCATCGAAACATACGTGCTGAGTCCCTTTTTTTTCTTGGCTCCCACAGAAGAGGTTTTTCGACTCCGTTAAAAATGCTCTTGATACTTTGGTGACTTCCCTTGTCTGTCACACAAACACTGAGTAAATTTAGCAGCCGTTGGGCATAAGGGCGTAAGTCACATGGTAATCCCATTGAATATAGGTTATTCTGTCCGATGACCACTCAATCAATTGTTGGCTGAGCGATAGCGAAGCCTGTTACTCCAGTGGGGTTGAAAAGTTTTTCCTGTCTGTCTGTCTGTCTGTGTGTGTGTGTGTCCGCACTACTCCTCCTGAACGGCTCGGCCGATCTCGGTGAGATTTCGCACACTTTTTGGGTATGTCCTTGGCTCGGCACACGCGAAATTTCACCATCCTAGCTCAACTGGTTCAGTTTTTATAGCCGAAAAACACCTAAAAAACGGCGAAAAATCGAGTTTTCGGCAGGTAGATCACCTCTGTCTTGAAGAAAGGGGGGTCTGGGGGGCGTAGCCCCCCAGCCTCGACAAGTTAAAAAGGGACAAGGGTCAAGATCGTGTTATCTGTAGATGAAGCTACTCTATCTAGAATTAAGGGGGGTCTGGGGGGCGGAGCTCCCCAGCATGCAACACGTAAGTAACCGACGATGGACAAGCCAATGCCTGCCGAAGGCAGGCTAGCGCCGCGGGCCAAGATAGGTACGCCAGGCGCGGATTGGAGGAACAGGCCGCGAGACATCGCGAAGCCTGTTACGACAAGAGTAGTAAAGACCCCCCCAGGTGAGGGCGGCCATTTTGTACCCCCCCAGGTGACGTCTGTCTAACCTATCCTTCGAAAGGTCCTGAGCACTGAGAAAACCTTACAAACTATTTTGGGCCTTACAAAGAAAAGCAGTTTGTATAACAAAGTATTTTGAGCATACGTAAGCTTACAAAGAAAATACTTCGTAATTTACGAACTATTTCTTCGTATAACAAAGTAATTTAGTTTGTTATATGTATGCTCAAAATACTTCGTAAGGTTTTAAGAGTGAGGGGTCCTTTTTGGAAAAAAAAATTTTGTCGTTTTTTTTTTTTTTTTGGAGGTGAAGATGAGGGCTCTAACCCAACCTAACCTAAGCTAGGGGATGGGCCTAACCTACCCTTCAACCCCCCGGAGGACGTTCGGGGCGATCAGAACTGTGAGGCGCGTGAGGTGCGCTTAACGGAGGAGGCGGAGCGCCTGCGAGGTAGGCAGCGCGCCGCGCTCCGTGCCGCGCGCCGCCGGGCGCCTGGGAGGCAGGCGCTCTGTCCCCAGGTGACGCATCGGGGGTGCTTGCTGTCTCCCGAAGCGCCTAATCAGACGGATATCATTGGCATTTTTTTAGGGAGTTTTGTCATTTTATGATTTTTTTGTGTTTTCAGTTATTTTCTTTACAGCGCTTGCTCACTCACTTAGGTACACCTGCATCCATAAACCCACACGCTTCGCATTGCGCGCAGCACACGTTTTGGAGCTGTGAGAGCCTATGGTATCATTATGGCAAGGTGCCCAGGCCTTGGGTAATTTTTTGAGGCTTGGACAACCGAACTTCTCTA